GACCCAAAGCAAAGTAATGATTATGAATAGCCTGGGCTATTTTTGTACTAGGAGACCTGGTAAATTTAATAAACCTCAAGGGAAAAAAATTAAAAGATCCCATCTAAACTTATCATAAAATCACAGAGCTAATAGATTTAAGAAATCTATTTACAATGGGATATTATTTAGCCATATAAAAAAATGAAATCCTGTCACTTGCAATAAAATGGATGGAAGCAGAGGTCATGATATTAAGTGAAATAAGCCAAACACAGAAAGACAAATATCATCACATGTTCTGATTCATATGTAGGTGCTAAAAAGGCAGGTCTTGTGAAGATAGAGCGTACATTGGTGGCGACTAGAGGCCAGGAAGGAGAGCAGAGAGGGTGGGGCATAATGGGAGGCTGATTATTAGGTACCAATATATAGTAGATAGAAGAAATAATAACTAGTATTCAATAGATCAGTAGGGTGTCTACAGTTAACATTAATCTATTGTAAATTTTAAAATAGCTACAAGAGAATTATTCGAATGTTCCTAGCATAAGGAAGAAATAAATATAGGGTACTGGATATTCCAAGCACCCTGATTTGAGCCTGGGACATCATATGAATATATGAAACTACCCCATGTACCAAAAAAATATGCACACCTATTAGATTTCAAAAAATTATAAAAATAAGTTATGGTTTTATGCATTACCTTTAAGTCTTTTATCCATTCAGAATTAACTTTTATGAGTGGTGAGAGATATGGATCCTGTTTCTTCTGTGTGGGGCTACCCAATTTAACCCGCACCATTTTTGAATAGGGCTTCTTTTCCCCATACATATCTTTCTCTGTTTTGTCAAAGATCAGTTTGCGGTATGTGGATTGTTTTATACCTGGGTTCTCTGCTCTGACCCAGGTCTGTGTCTCTATTTCTGGGCCATCATCATGCTGTTTTGGTTACTATGACCGTGTAGTATAGTTTGAAGTCTTGTCATATGATGCCTCCAGAGTTGTTCTTTTTGCTTAAGTTTGCTTTGCTTATTGGACTTTTTTCTGGTTCCAGATGCAGGATAGATTTTTTTTCTAGATCTATGAAATATGACATCAGTATTTTGAAGGGGATTGTGTTGAATCTGTAAATCACTTTAGGTAGCAGGAACATATAACAATGTTAATTCTACCAATTCATGAGCATGCTATGTTTTTCCATTTGTTTGAGTCATCTGTGACTTCTTCCCTCAATGTTTCATAGTTCTCTTTGTGGACAGTTTTCACCTCCTTGGGTAAGTAATATTTCTAGGTCTTTTATTTTCTTTTTAGCTATTGTGAGTAGTATTAAGTCACTGATTTGACTTGGCTTAACTGTTATAGAAATGCTACTAATTTGTGTATACTGATTTTTTAACCTGAGACTTTACTGAATTTATTTGTCGATCCCATGAGTCTCTTGCTGGATCCTTTGGAGTTTTCCAGATATAACATCTACAGTATCAGTAAACAGTGATAGTTTGGCCTCCTCTTTCCTGATTTGAATGC